TATATAATTTAAAAATTAAATTGACTTAGTGTATTCCAAATTTGTTGCGAACAAAATATTTATTTTGCATTGTTTTGCCAACAAAATTGCAGTACGTTGAAAATTTGACGTCAGACACAATAGAACAAGTGCATCGTCTATATTCTTTGGGAGTCCAAAGGTGTAAAATAAAAGAGAGAATTCGTAGTTAAAGAAAGCAAAAGTAAAAGGAACAACGAATTTTCCTCGGTCATTAATCATTATGTCTAAAATAATAAAAATTCATAAATCTTTTATGGACGCAGCTGCAAAACAAAAAAAAAAAAATTTCAGAAAATTCTAAACGATTTCATAATAAACATATGCTCAGAGAAATGTTACGCATACGCCGTTTGGTCCAAGCAAACAAACGCTTCCTGTAATGTCTATAAAAAATTGCGTTGCTGTTGCACTTGCCAAAAATGCATTCGACGACAACCAAATGCGTCAGGTAAAAGCATTTGAAATCGTACACTTACAGTTATATGTGTATATACGTGTATATATATGCATATGTATGCATGTATAAATAGTGGGAAATACGTATGTGCATGCATAATTACAAATTGTGTTGATCAGATCCGCTTAATTGCTGAGTAGAAAATACAAATTGAAAAATGTGTTTTTTTTTTTCAGTTATTAAAATGTTAAATGGAAATCCTTTTCAGGAATGCAAACAGGCACTTCAGTTATTATCAATTCAGAATGTTGAATTATAAAATACGTATACTATGCAAACGTAATTGCATTTAATGGCGTCAATTGCAATTCAAATGCCAAATAAACCTGTCGCCATAATGACAACAACAGGTCGCTCAGCAAGAGAAGGAGCGAGCGAGAGAGAGATAGAGTGGGTGTATGAGAGGTAGAGCCTATGCACTTGCCGAGCAAAGACTCAGACACACCCACCCACCACAAGGCAAAAGAGGCGCATCACATGCTAATTAGTTTTGCGCTGTTTGCTTTGCTCTGTTTACATTTTGCCGATTCCCCTTTACCGATGGCCCAATGTCAAGTGCAATCGTTGGCAGTAGCAGCAGCAGCAGCAGCATCGGCATCGACATCCACAGCCACATAGCGACATAGCGGCAATCGGCCGCGCTCTTGGCGCCGATGCGCCTCGTGCGCACGAAGACGCTACGAAGGCTCGTCGTCGTTTGCTTTCGTGCGCTCAGGAAGGGCTTGCTTTGCAATTTATTGTATGAGCGCCCAATGGCTCAGTGGGGAATGGCGATTATGAATGCCGTAAAAAATACGAATGTATTTGCATTGGCGGGCAGAGAGTCAATTAGAAATTCAACTGCAGTTTTACCTGAAGGTGTGTACCAGATAATCGAACGCAAGCGTACAATCACTTAGAATTTATTTCATAAAACAAAAAAAACTTTTATTGTTATATGACAATTTTTTTTTAGCAATATGTTTGGTGTTTGCAAGGGTGTATGTAAGTATGTGCATGTTTATTTGTGAATATGTTTGAAAGTAAGTATGTAAGAGCTAGTGATGAGAGGCTAGAGAATAGGCTAAAGTATGCAATTCAAACTAAGTTTGTTTTGATTTGTGTCTCATTTTGAGCGTTCACATATTAAATTTATTAATCTATATACAAAATTAGTTTTTCTCCCTTATTGAACCTTCACAACCTCCAAAATTCACATTTGTAATTCAGCGGTGAATGGGACGCACTGATGGAGCAGATCAAGCATTCCACAAACCCAATGTACTCTTCTAACTGCGAGAGCGTGTATAACGATACAGATTGGCTATATTATAATATAGATTTGAGAAATGCATTATTTATGGCAAATGCATTGGCCATGATATGGACTTAAATGGAAATGTAAATATTATTGTTGCTTCGCAGATTACTCGACAGCTCGCATAAGCAAGATAAAAATGTCCGGTCCGGGAAACATAAACAACCGACTGATAGGGTCCAGAGCGAAAGCACTGCAAAGTGTAAACATACAAGTTGATAAAATAAACAATATTCTGTTATTAATAAATGTTTGACACAAGTTTCATACAGACAAAATATATAATTATCTTTCACTATTTTGACTTTTATCAACAGAGGATAAATCAGTAGCAAGAAAATCAATAGAAAAGCAAAGCTGAGCGATGAATGAACAATGTGCGATAATCAATCAATCGTATTCAAAGGTCTTGAATCATTCATTATCGAAAGTCAGTCAGTTCACACGTGAACTCACGCATTCTGATTGTGCTTCTGTTTCACTAGAGATAACCTGTTTTTTCGGGAATCATAAAAGTGTTTTAAGCAAGGGTATGCCCAGCCATGGCATACCCAATAAACTTTGGAATAGTATTATGTACAAACACGTATTCAAAAGTCAAGTACCTTTTTGTATTTATGCTCATAGGGAGCTTCTAGGCTAGTAACACCTTTATGACTCTGAATACAATGCAAATGAAAAAAAAAAAAAAAAAAAAAAAAACAGAAAACTAAATGTAGAGCACGCATTACCTTAGGTATTTGGATTGGATGACGTTTTAACAATTTATGAAATCTTATAGCACAATGTTATAAATTACATTTTGAAATTTTCGGCGCAAGTTGCTAGCCTAGATTTAGCAATTTTGATGTAGTGCTCAAGATAAGATATATAACGTAATGTGTGTAATAAATTAGTTTATAGATTGTAGATTAATAAATAAATAACATTTTTTATATTCCATCAATCTATTCAAGTTAGCAGAGCCAAGCATAGCATACTTTTGAGTGACCCATTCATGTGGATAAAAAACTCGAATTCTTAAAACAAAAACTCCTTTTTTTTTATCATCTAAAAGTGTTCATATTTAAATTGCAAATCCTTTTGAGTGTACATTAACTCATACCTTTTTAATATCCTCGGTCGCGACCATAGTTAATATATAAAGTATATGAGCTTATTTCAAACATATAAACTTTAAATCATTTAAATTTTATTTTATTTAGTTTTTTTGTTTGCAAAAATTTTGATAGTTGGCGGTTTTGTTATTTTTTCAAACGAATTAGATTTCGTTCAGCTAAAATTTAATGGGAAACGTTTTAAGTAGCGAGACGTGTGGATGGGTGCACTGAGCGCACAAACAAAACTGAATTTCTCAAAGGAAACGCGCTTAATGGCAGAGCTAAATGAAAACGCTGCCAAGACTCGCGTAAAGCGTCGACTGCGATGTCGTGTCGTCAATTGATATATATCGCAACAGCGGCAGCGAAACCAGCAGCAGCAGAGGCACAGAGGCGACAGCAGCAGTGGCAGCGACGTCAGCGTTGGCATTGCGCTGCCGATAGCGCTACTTTGTATTGACTTGGGCGACCCGTCAGTAGGTTCGCTGGATGATGGCATATATGTGGATCATTTGCAGATTGATCGAGCGCTATAAACCCGGATGGATATGAATTTAAGTGAAAATCAATTGTGGTTCTCTGTGGCGTATGAGTGATTTCATAATTTATTATTCTTCATCGCTTGCATCGCGCTTAAATAAACTATTCGATTTTTCGGGCTGATCGAACTGAAACTTTTCCAAAAGCCGTCGAAACCCGCTCTCCAACGAAGCCGAACTAACATCCCTAAGCTTTTCTAGAACATATTGAATCAGATCTTCCAATAGCACCTGTAAATGGGACAATAGAATCCAAAATTCCTAACAAATGATCAATAATTGTACCTTCATATGAGTTAGAGACACTTGACAACGGCTGTGTATATTATGATTATCGAAGAGCATATTTTGAAAGAATACCGGGTCGTTTTGCTCAATTACGGCATTCAAATAGCGCATGAAAGCCAAACTATGTCCATGCAAACGATGCATATCCAATTTACCTTTTATCCGAAAATTGTCAGTAACTTTATAATTTTCCATCAGATATCTACGGAATCGATATTAGTCCAGATTTTTTGTCTCTAATTTGCATAAGGAAATCTTCAAGTGGTTTGTCTTACTCAAAGTAAATTTCCTTTCCATAGCGACGCTCGAAAGGTTTAATTAGCTTCCAGGCCTGTCTTAAAGCCAACCTCTCATTGAGCGTAAAGCCACACTCATCATAAATAGGTCCCACTTTAAATTCTGGCAATGCTTTCGGAAATATGGATGCAACGTCGATACTACTAGAGTCATCTTGGCTTAAATTTGATTTGATTGAAATTTTACTCATTTCGCAATTTTATTAGTGTAATTGTATTTCAAAATAGAAAAAATGAGAATATATGTATATAAGGGGTACTTATGAAAATATTATGTGCAGAAAATATGTCAAAAGCAAATAAACAATGACTTAATAATAAAGGAATATGTGTCACAATCACAATCTCAGCTGCTCAACGACTATAGGGTATTTACTTAGCACATCAATAATTTGAGTCATGGAATAACGTTCATTTGGATCGGTACTCCAGCAGCTGGTCAATAGTTCCTTTATTTTCTCCGGACAAGAAATATTTATATCATCCAAGGAAGGTCTTTCGCCTAAAACGAAGTAATTTTATTGCCATTACATTTTGAATTTTGACTTTTTTGGATTATCTACAGGAATATCGTACCATCTAGAACTGCTTTAGATATTTGTAGGTTCGTGTCATAGCTGTTATACGGCTTGTCTCGCGATAACATTTCCCACAAAGCTATTGCATAGCTGTAAACATCACATTTTTCGGTATATTTTTTACCTGTAAAAACCTATAAATGATAAAATTGCACATATTAGATTGTTAATGTGTGCGTAAAAGTGGAATAGGAACCTCTGGTGCCATATAGGTAGCAGTGCCCCTATTATTTGTCATCGATGTACCCAGGGATCTCACAAACGAAAATTCACAGATCTTCACATGTCGATAACTATCACATAGCAAAATATGGTACGGTCTAATATCGCGGTGAACTAGCTTCTTGGAATGCATGTATTGAATGCCCTATAAAACAATATAAAGTCATAAGATACTATTTAATATATAATAATATATACCTTCGCTATTTGAAGAGCCCAGTTTATTACATGAGCTAGGTCATAATTTATCTGTTCGGAATATATCAAATTTTCTAGAGATCCGCCGTCCACTAGTTCCATTACTAGGTAAAGTATATTGTTCTTGATAGCAGTTCCATGCAAAAACACTATATTTTCATGATTTGCACGTAAAAGTTCTGTGATCTCGTTATCAGTAGACTTGTTTATATTTTGTAGAAATATTTCCTTCACAGCAACATCTTTTGTGTGCCATCGGGCCTTAAAAACTTTTCCGTTATTTCCTTGGCCAAGTACCTAGATCAAGAAATGAGCATAAAATCTTAATTTTCTATTGACAATAATATTTATTTATTTTTTTTAAATTATACCTCGCCAAGTGTTAAGTCATCAGCCTTAATAGAATGCATGATTGATATTCCAACAAAAATGATTTTGCTGATATCTGAGGGAAGATAAGAGGTGCCGATTTGTGCTGTCCAATTATTTGCAAAGAGGTAGAAGATTAATTTATATGAGTATTATATTTATAAACAATATATAAAATTGCATCAAACAAATACTCTTTTGATTGTGAGAATGTAATATTTAAAAAATTGTAATATAAAAAAACGCCTTCTTCACAACGGTCAAATTGCTCTTTGCAAATACTTTTACTTAGTCATGAACTCAATAGTGCAAATTTCCATTTCAAATCGAAAATGAGGTGCAATATATTAATCGATAACAGATGTGCATACCTAATCTCGATTGCTCAATGGACAACTGTTACGTCACAGGCAAACAGCTGTTATTGCCGCTAAGAACGTAAACATGTCGCTGGCGAATCCTTTTCGGACTGTATTTCGTCTACCAAGTCGCAATCAACGTGTCAACTGGTTTCCCGGCCACATGACTAAGGGCATGCGGCAAATACAACAAAGGCTGCGTAACGTCGATTGCATTGTTGAAATACATGACGCGCGAATTCCTATAGCCGGCCGAAATTCACAATTTTTTGATACTATTACGGGTAAGCAAATCAAATTGTTCTCAAATTATTGTAATAAGTTAAACACGTTCCATTTCCTCCTATAGGCAATGGCGCAAAGCCACATATATTAGTATTGAATAAGATCGATCTCTTAGGAGGCAAGCAACAACGTGGTATACTCAAGCAGCTTCGTGCACGTCAGCCGGAACTGAAACATATTCTCTTTACCAATTGCAAAGATCAGCGTAACACAGGCGTGCTGGATATATTACCGCTGGCAACCAAGCTAGTCGGAGAGAGTAGTAGATTCAATAGAGCACAAAGTGCCGATCACAATATTATGATAATTGGAGTGCCTAATGTGGGCAAGAGCAGCATCATTAATGTACTGCGAAATGTGCACCTCAAAAAACGCAGCGCGGCACGCGTTGGAGCTGAGGCCGGAATAACGCGATCAGTTGGTGAACGTATTAAAATCCAGGAACAGCCACCTGTCTATATGATAGACACTCCCGGCATACTGCAACCGTCAATCACAGATGATGAAATGGGCATGAAGTTGGCGCTGGTCGGCTGCCTGCCAGATCATATCGTTGGCGAGGACTTGATAGCCGACTATCTGCTATACTGGCTAAATAAGCACGAGCGCTATGAGTATGTGAAACTGCTTGGTCTACACTCCGGGCCCAGTGACAACATTAGCGCCGTGCTGGCAGAATATGCTCAGCAACAGGCTATGTTTCATCGCGTCAAGCAATACAATGGCCAGGTGGAGGTGATGACCAATTTATTGGCTGCTGCCCGCAAATTCATTAGCTTCTTTCGTACTGGACAGCTGGGAGCTATTAACTTAGACGAAGAACGTAATTAGTTAATTGAAATTTTATTTTAATGTTTATAATATAATTATAAAAGTACTTTAAAGTCTAGTCAATTAAATCTTCTTGTATCAATTGTCGACCATTGGGACATCAATGGCAATGTTACCCACACCCGGTACGGGTATGGAATAGGAAACACCGACATTGTCCATTTCGGTGTCTGGCGCAGTCTCTTGCTGTACGGGCACATCAATGGGTATCTGCTTTGGTTCCATCTGCGGCAGCTGCTCAGAATCCACATTACATATGGATGGCTCCACTGCATCCGAAGGAGCACTGCTAACAGCATAACCTGTTTGCGCCGCTGTCGCACGTAGTTCTTCGGGCACGCCTTGCATTCGCTTATTTATGTAGCCGGTGTAAGGAGCCATCTTCTGATAGTATTCGATGAGCATTTCTGGATTTTTCTCGGTTACCTGGCTGCTTGACACCAGATCGAACTCATCACAAAATTGCCATCTAACGAGATATTTGATTTCCCCAGTTACATCTGTTGCACCCATAATCTCTGCCAGTTCCAAACCACGTTCGTATCCGCGCGGCTTCTGTATTTCTTCACACTTTGGTTTCTTTTCGCCGCGCTTCTTGGATTTCGCTCGCGACTCCTCAAACTTTTGTATGAGTGCTGGGCAATCGCAGTTTTCCTCTGGCTCCCAGGTATTATCGCCGGATGGATAGCCACGCCATTTAATAAAGTATTCTACTTTACCATCAGAAGTGATGCGCTTGTCTACGATGCGCTCAACAACAAAATTCGGTTCGTTTTTTACCATTGTAGTGAAAATTTATATTCTTGTTTGTTTTCGTTTACAATTTATGTTTATGTGTATGTGTTCGCTTGTGATGCGAAACAATATATCGATGTATCGCACACGACGACTATTCGGTTCTTTCGAAGCTCGATTGGATTCGCTGTTAACCAATTGTCTATTCTGTTAAATGTAGCTTGTATCGATATTTGAAGTCAGTGTGGATTTTCAATTGCCATTGCGCGCACGAGATTTCTTACTGCGTATTTTGTGTTCGTTGAAATAATAAATAATGAGTGACACTGAAGACGTTTGGTCAGATTGGAATCCCATAGCTCAGCACTATTTTGACGAGACTTCAAACAAATATGAAAGGGTTAACGTAGCGCCAGCTAAAGACAATGGCAAACTGGATCGGATCTCTAAGCAAAAGCAGTATCCATATTTGATTATCAAAAAGAAAAATCCATTTATAACGGAGAATTTGTTGGCAAATTATTTTGGCGATATTATCTATGAAATAGAATWTCGTTCAGGATCACGCGAGTTTCTTGTTTATTTCCATAACATCGGGTATGTTAAAAAAAATAATAATAATAATAGTAATAAGAAAATAAAATAAGCGTAATAAAATATTTGACAAGTAAATTATTTATCTCAATTTTAGATCACTTGAGGTGGCATGGACAAAGTTTCGTCAGTTTCCGAATATAGTGCATTGTGTTGAGGGCCGCGCACAAAAAAGTATATCATTTAACTCAACATTACAGAAGGAAAGGGAACTAAATAATGTGGTTCAGCTGCCGCCTCCTAGTGAACCGAATTCCGTTAACTTGGAGTCTCGTACGATTATGATATCGGCGAACAAGCATAAACATCCGGAATTTTCGAAGCCACCCATAGTCATTAGATCTGACTATACTAGGAAAGGCTCTCAGCTGGCGGATAACGATGGGAACTATCGCTATTTGAGTGTAAAATATGAGTTTATGCTGGAGCGGCATGGAGCCTATATCTTGGAACAGAACATTGAGAAGGATCAAGCTGTGCTCCACTTTCGATCCGGTCGTTCAATAATTACGTAGGTATAATGTAAATAGTATAGCTGCTTTTCTATAAATATATTTACTTTTCCTTATAGGCCGAAAGTCCAACTTGAGGCTAAGCCAGCCCAAGTTGAATCACAGCTGGAGAAGCTGGCCAAGAAATGTTTTTCATGTAAATGCTACACCGACATTAGTTGCAAATTCTGCCAGATGCCCTTCTGCAATACCATCTGTTTCGATGCCCTGGCCGATGCGCACAAGGAGAGCTGTGGCAAGGGCAGTCCACCCGAGATTGACGATGCCATTATTTCAGAATTTTCAAAGATACAGCTGCCGCCGTCCGGCTCTAACGTGAAAATCTCTGCATTCGAGCAGAGCAATGTTTTATATGTGCGCTCAGCTGAAATTGGGGATGAGATTGCCTACTATAAAGTTCTGTCAGATGTGATGTTGCATGGCAAACATTCAGCCAAACTGATGCAGATGCCCCACTGCGGCGAAATTGTCGTCTACAAATCTAGCGTTCAAATTGTGCGGGCTATGGTCTTGAATGTCGACAATCCGCAGGCCATATATGTGGTGTGCGTGGATTATGGCAATGTAGAGATCACAACGCTGGACACTCTGTACGAGTGTAGTCCCTATTTGGCCGGCTTGCCGCGCTATGCTCTGCCTGTCCTGTTGCGCGCCGTGCCCAGACGCTTCATGTCGCCCAATCTGCGCAGCATGCTATATGAACTAGACCACACATATACTTTTGTGCTGAAGTACTCGAAGCGTGATTTTGACTTCGACAAGGGAATGCAACGCGTCATTCTCATTGAGAGTGAACTGAATCGCAGCCTAAATCGATTGATTAACACAATTGTGAATCCAGTGGAGCCATCGATCTCAGAAATCGGCTATAAAGAAGATGTAAGGCGGATAAACCAGATATCAACAGTTGACTCAATCCATTATTTAATTCCAGTATCTGCAGCATGTCCATTTGCCAACAGGCAAGAATATCGAATTGGTTGTCATGGACAACACATTTATCAAATTTGGCGTAATTCACTGCACAATTCTGGATTATGCATACGAAATAACTTCTATGCAGCGCAATTTTCAGTACTATGGCGAATCCATAGCCAAATGTAAATCCTTTGCTGCGCCGTAAGTCTAGTAGGAATCCCCAAGCCTCATCTGAATAACTAAGTCTAATTTTATTTTTAGTAAAAATGAACTGTGTATTGCCAAGTATCAGGGCAAATGGTGCCGAGGCGTCTGCATGGAACTAGTAGGGGATGGTTATCCAAGCATCCTGTTCATAGACTATGGAAACATTGCAGCTGTTAATGTGGATGACATACGCCCATATCCACCACAATTCACATTTCCTATCTTAACTACTGAGTATGAACTGCTGGACATGCCCGACGATATAACCGAGGAGCAATTGACCCATCTTGAAAAGCATTTGGCACTTGGAGCTATTATCAACTGCGATGAGGTTATTTACAATGAACTGGATAACAACTACTCACTGCGCTTAGACGTTGTGCAAAAACTTACAATGGAAAAATAATAAGTTAAGACTATGAAAATCTTTATATACACGTATGTATGCCATATTGAAAATTTATAATAGTTATAAGAACGTTATAAGCATGTTTGCAATAACTGTATATTAAATGAATATTAATGAATTATGAATGTTAATTGAATTATGTTCAAAAATGAGCCAAATGATCTTCATGCTGTTTGCTGTAGACGTAGCATAAGCTTGGTATCTCAACGCTTACAAATATATCCTGAAAAATTAAATTTGTATCAAATGTTGTGCATACACATAGATATTTAGAGCATTGCTTACCTGTAAAAAAGCCTCGTTAAATGGAGGCTGCCATTGCTGCCAATCCACTAATACCTGTAATATCAAAGTTTTCATTTAAGTTCACCAGACTTTCAATGATAACCTACATTTTGACCAATTCCCTGTAATTGGTGAGTTGGACTCACACGGTGCTTGAGTATATCCATTAATTGTTCGCTGCCATTGAATAGTCCCAAATGTTGTTGAAACTGCCACTCCTCCCAACATCCAGCTGTGATTAGCGTATAAACTCGAGTGTCCGCTGCTAGCAAATGGCTAATTTCTGACCGAATACTAAAATTATAGAGTATTACATATTTGCAATTATTTAAGTGCTCGTGGGATAGATGCCCAGCGATGAAAAGAGCCGCCTTCGGCTCTTTGGCATCCTGCGAAATGGTCCCATTGAAGCTGTCCGCTTGACAGGAGTCTTCGACGTATGCTATATCCCAGCATTGGCAGTAACCCTTAATGATGTCCAAGCAGCTTTGATCACTTGCAACGATGGCACAGTTCTGGCCATGCGCTACAACCAAATCATCCAACATTAAATGAACAAACTCAAATTTTGCAGAGTCGTAAAGCCCCATCTCCTGCCAGGGCGGCAAGTGGGGCAGCAATGCTTGCGATACAACCTGTTGCTCTTCAAAATGCTGTAGTAGCACGGGATGATCACATATAAGCTGAGCAATTTCATAAATGTCTTCTCTTCTGCACAATTGGTGCTAAAATATGCAACCTTCATAAATATATGCCTAAAATATTGTATACAAGCTTATATATGCATTACCTTTTCCAAATGTTCGCAGTATTCGGCGAGCAACTGCATTGATTGGCATTGAAGTTCGGCTGGTGTCAGCATGCAAATATATTCGTCTAGCTTAACGGGAGGAGCAGTTGCAGTGATGACGTCGCATTTTAATTCTGACGATCGTTTCGGCTTTCTCAGAATGTTCGGCAGCCTTGGGAGTTTGCGGGCGGGTTCATTATGGGCAGACACAATGCCGACAGATTCCTCTTGCTGTCGATACCAGTTTTCAATTTCCTCTCTACGCTGTGATATACATTCATCGGCAGTCCTGAGCTCCGCTTGTATCTCGATGTCTCTATTGCCGATTTCGAGCAGGGCGCCTTCTTGAATTTTGTCCCGGTTAAAGCACGTCAAAACGTCCATTACTTTGCCTGTTTCATCCTTCAAGGTTGCTTTGGTTGTAGTCAATTCGAGAGTTCCATTGCCTGTCCATGTTTTATGCTTTTTATTTGACTGCTTACGCCAGAGCACTAGAAAAATGCGCTTGTCTTTCAGAGGATTCTCTCCTTCATTGTATTTATGTGGCCTAAATCCTTTATAAGCACCAGATGTGCCCCATTCCATTTCCAGGGGAGTGGAAACACTTTGGGCAGGATCCAGCTCAGCAACAGAGACACCCATTTTGGCTGCTCTGCGTATTGATGGCGCCTTTGAACGTCGCATTCGAAATCTAAAAAGAAAATCAAACTATTTCGAACTGCCGCTTTGCTCTGCTCCCCTTACAATGAGATGAAATGTAAGCAAAGCAATATCGAAAAGAGAACAACTGTTAACTAACATTCGGTCTGTTCTTGTAAATTCTAGCCGATATATCGACATAATATTCATCGAGTTGAGCTGAGACCAATCGACATATCGATGATGCAAAATAGCATCCGAACCGGCGTTTCCACATTGTGGATTACCCACCAATTCCAATTGCAGTGGAACTGCAGTAGACTCGGGAGTGTTGGACACAAATGACATTATGGCGTTCCATTGGTGCGACAACAACCTGCATACCACAGTGTTCACCCCGCGAGACTTTCAAGTGGAGCTGCTTGCGACTGCATTTGAGCGTAACACCATTATCTGTTTGGGTCATAGAAGCTCCAAGGAGTTTATAGCACTCAAGTTACTGCAAGAGCTCTCCAGACAAGGACGCCGAAGCGGTAAAGTGAGTGTGTACCTGACAAATCAGATTGATGCTGAGAACACGTCCATCTACACGATGCTCACACATCTCACCGATCTCAAAGTGTGGCAGGAACAGCGCGATCAGGGAATTTCAGCAGATCATTGTTGGACCGACTACCATGTCAGTATACACAAGCCAGCTTCCTTTCTGTCCCTGCTGCAAGCTGGAAATCTGCCGTTAAGTAGCGTTCAACTGATTGTGCTTGAGGATTGTCACGACAGCGCCGTCTATCGCAGTATTTTGCCCATTTTCGAGGAATTTATTCTGCCAGCAAAGTCTGCCGATCGTCCCCGAATATTGGGACTAGCGGGTCCCTTGCATAGTGCAAAATGTGAGCTGGAGGAACTGCACGCCATGTTGGACACCCTGGAGCAGCAGATGCTGTGTCGCATCGAAACAGCCAGTGACATTGTCACCGTGCTGCGATACTGTGCCAAGCCCCATGAGTATATTGTGCAATGTGCGCCTTTAGAAATGGACCACTTGTCTCGTGTGATAGTCGATATCCTGACCACGCATAAGTCGTTCCTAAGTGATCATCGCTATGATCCCTTTGAGATTTATGGCACCGATCAATTCATGGAGGATCTAAAGGGTATTTGCTCAGAGATACACCTTCAAGCTACTTTCTCTTATTTCATTAACAAATTAAATTCACAGATATTCCCGATCCCAAGCAGGATCCCCTAAATGTGCTAGACGCCCTACTTTCTGTAGTCCATGAAATGGGACCTTGGTGTACGCAACGCGCCGCACTTCATTTCTACCAACGTAACGAGAAGCTGAAAGTCAAGACTCCACACGAACGACACTATTTGCTTTTCTGCCTGGTGAACACAGCGCTGATCGAAATAAATGCCCTGTGCGAACAGACATTCCAGAAGCTAATGGTCGGGGATCCTCTGGGTACCATTGACCGGTACTCCAGTCCCAAGGTGCGGCGGTTGTTAAGAGTGCTACGTTGTTTCAAACCAGCTGATGCGCACAATCAGACTGAGGGATTGCGCAAAATGCGCCATCAGGTGGAGCAGACGGATTTCAATAAATTGTCGCAGGCACTTAAAGCGAAGTGTCACGTGGTTGAACAGCTGGATGAGAAGAATGTGGAAACAAGTAGTATAGTTAACAATCTGCAGCAACTCGTACAATCATCAGAAAAGGGAGCAAAGGTAGCGGCGAAAGCCAAAGAAGAAGATGCTCCAGCAACGCATCCAACGACCACCACAACGAAATCCAAATCCAATGGACAGCAGCACACAAGAAGGCGGGTGCACACAAGGCGGCACAATCGACACCACAATGACGCTGGCGAAACCCTTTGTGCACTTATCTATTGCAATCAAAATCACACGGCTCGCGTTCTATTCGAACTGTTGGCGGAGTTGAGTCGACGCGATCCTGATCTCAAGTTTCTGCGCTGCCAGTATACCACGGATCGCGTGGCTGATCCGGCAACAGAGCCAAAAGAAGCTGAATTGGAGCATAGGCGGCAGGAGGATGTGCTCAAACGGTTTCGCATGCACGATTGTAATGTGCTAATTGGCACCTCAGTGTTAGAGGAGGGTATTGATGTGCCCAAGTGCAATCTAGTAATTCGCTGGGATCCACCCACCACTTATCGCAGCTATGTGCAATGCAAGGGACGCGCGCGAGCAGCGCCCGCTTACCATATAATGCTCGTGGCACCCACGTACGATCCGTCTGAAGCAGCAACCGAAGCTGCAGTGCAGCTCAATGAACAGAGCCATCGATTTATCTGTGCAACGTCAAGCGATGCTACTGCGAATGCTAACCAGGAGCTGGACAGCGATTCAGACGACTCTGCACTGCCCAATTCGCTTGCTTCCGATCCATATACTTTTGGAACTGCTCGTGGAACGGTCAAAATACTCAATCCAGAGGTGTTTAGCAACCAACCGCCCACCGTGTGTGACATAAAACTGCAGGAGATCCAGGACGAGGCGCCCGCTGTGCTAGATGCTGGCAATTCCAGTGACGATGCCATTAGCTTATCGAATACCACGCCTAGTGACAGAAGCGCGGAGCGTAGACCCAAGCAACGCTTCGAATGCGAACTCCACTCGATGCCAGATATTGACTCAGCCACTGTGGTAAACGTTCCGGCAATAGCAGATAATCTGACAAGTACAACGCAGGTGCTGGTGCATCGAATGGCACAATATCGCGAGATCGAACAGGTAATTGTTATTAATAAAATCACCAAGCTTGATATGCAGGTATTTCTTTAATACTTGTATTTCAGATGCTGTTATCGAAATGTGCCAATACGGAACCCGCTGAGCTGGAGCAGATACAAGCGGAGCGATTCACTAGCTGCCTCGCCGCCTATAAGCCCAAGCCGCATCTGTCGACCGGCGCCTCAGTTGACTTAAGTACTGCCATAGCCCTGGTCAACAAATATTGCGCCCGGCTGCCCAGTGATACCTTCACCAAGCTAACAGCTCTGTGGCGTTGTGCGAGCGCCGTTCGTGATGGCGTCACGTTATACCAGTACACGTTGCGCCTTCCCATTAATTCACCGCTAAAGCACGATATTATTGTAAGATTTTTGAATATATGATGCAATTTGAGTATTTCAAAACGATTTATTTTCTCATTAAAGGGTCTGCCGATGCCCACTCAGACACTTGCACGGCGATTGGCCGCACTGCAGGCCTGTGTGGAGCTGCATAAGATAGGTGAACTGGACGATCAGCTGCAGCCCATTGGTAAGGAGGGCTTTCGGGCACTCGAGCCAGACTGGGAGTGCTTCGATTTGGAGCCAGAAGATGAGCAGATAGTGCAACAAAATGACGAGCCTCGGCCGGGCACCACAAAACGACGGCAATATTACTATAAGCGTATTGCATCGGAGTTTTGTGACTGCCGTCCTGTGGCTGGCGCTCCTTGCTATCTGTATTTCATTCAGCTAACACTACAGTGTCCTATACCTGAGGAGCAGAACACCCGCGGTCGCAAAATCTATCCGCCGGAGGAGGCACAACAAGGCTTCGGCATATTGACGCTAAAACGGATACCAAAGCTGAGCGCCTTCTCGATATTTACGCGGTCTGGTGAGGTAAAGGTATCGCTGGAGCTGGCACGTGAACGTGTTGTCCTAACTGAGGAGCAGATTAGTTGCATCAATGTCTTCCTTAACTATACGTTCACAAATGTTCTGCGTCTGCAAAAGTTCCTCATGCTCTTCGATCCAGACTCCACGGAAAACTGCGTGTTCATTGTGCCCACAATAAGGTCGACGGCGGACAGTCGGATTATTGACTGGCAATTTCTGGAGCTCATTCAAGCCACTGGGAACATGATGCCACAGCCAGTGCCAGATGAGGAACGCCAAAAACAATCATTCGATGCGCAACGTTTTCAGGACGCTGTCGTTATGCCCTGGTATCGGAACCAAGATCAGCCACAGTACTTCTATGTAGCCGAAATCTGTCCACATTTGTCGCCACTGAGCTGCTTTCCGGGCGACCATTATCGCACCTTTAAGCATTACTATCTGGTTAAATATGGGCTCACCATACAGAATGCAGCGCAGCCTCTGCTCGATGTGGATCACACGAGTGCGCGGTTAAATTTTCTAACTCCTCGTTATGTGAATCGAAAAGGCGTGGCACTACCCACCAGTTCGGAGGAAACGAAGCGGGCAAAGCGAGAAAATCTTGAACAAAAGCAGATATTAGTTCCGGAACTCTGTACAGTGCATCCGTTTCCAGCGTCTCTATGGCGCACTGCAGTTTGTCTGCCCTGCATCCTGTACCGCATCAATGGACTGCTGTTGGCGGACGATATTCGAAAACAGGTCTCTGCGGATCTTGGCCTCGGCCGGCAACAAATCGATGATGAGGAGTTCGAGTGGCCCATGCTAGACTTTGGCTGGAGCCTCTCGGAAGTACTGAAGAAATCCCGCGAATCTAAGCAGAAATCCGATAGCAAAGAGGCAATCAATGAAACCGTGGAAGAGTTACCTGTCGCGACAGTAGCTGAGCCAAACCTGGATAAAGTAGAGAAGACTGCCAACGAGCTGGTAATTGAAGGAGAAGAACAGTTAAGCAGTACGGAAGAGTTTATAGAGATTGGCACCTGGTCGAATGACATGGCTGATGACATAGCCAGCTATTCAGAGGGCGATGATGATGAGGAGGATGAAGACTTTTTGCCAGTGCTTCCCGCTAATGTTAAGTTCTGTAAGTATAGGTTACTCAATCGTTAGCAAACAATTATCAAATCTCATTCCATTTCCCTTATAGGCGATCAACAGACGCGATACGGTTCGCCGACGTTCTGGGATGTGAGCAATACCAATAGCTTTAAGCAGCCACCTGCCTCTGTTCTGCAGCGAACCGCCAAGCCGCGCGGCGGTAATGGGGCAGGCAAGACTGCAAAAGTAGAGGGAAAACCCAAATACGCCTACTACGAATCGGACAATTCGCTTAGCTCCAGCAGTGACGATGACGATCATGTGGGGCCGGTTCATAACTACAGCTCGGATGACGATGATTCGG